CTGGGGACATTCAAGGTCAGGCTTTGAAGAGGCTTTGAGCAGCCTGACCTAGTTGATGTCCCTGCTTACAGCAGGGGGGGTTGGACTACATGACCTTTGGAAGTCCCTTCCAATCTAAACATTCTATGTATGACTCCCTACACAAAAGATTTCTGTATAAAGCAAACTAACAATTAATTATTGCACAAGTTCAGCGGCACCTATCAGTGCTTGGATGGTGCTTTTTTTCCCCCCATGAACAATTTTTTGCTGCTCTTGTTTATTTGGAAGGACATGAAACTCATCCAAAACAGTAACTAATGGCTTGTGTTCTCTAAAAACATTTGAACTTGCCATGTTAAAAATGAAGACTTATTGTGCCTTTTATTACACCTAAGTGTATACAAAGCAGTTCATTACTAGAACTACATGCGCTTCCGAGGGCTACAAAGTCCTCAACAGGTGTCTATCTGCACACACCTACAACTGACTTAAGTGAGCTTTTCCCTTAAACAGCAAAGGAGGAATCCCTAACATATTGCCCCACCCCTCTACTTGTTCTAAAGTACTCTTAGATACTATATTTCCATTTGTAGGAAAGTATGCAAATTGTGACTTTTCCAATTTATTCTTGTAATTCACCACCTTCACCTTTCAAGACTGACTGCTCTTCTAACACACTAAAAGATGCCTTTGGTAGACAAAAAAAGTAGCATTACCCAAAAGGGTTTCATTCACTTTTCGGCCAACTACGTCCTTAGCCTGTGCTGAAAATGAGCCAGCACAACAAGTCTTCACCTCAGGTACTTGGTTTTATCTTTTTTTTCTTAAACAGCCAACCAACAACTTCTTTTCCCACTGAAACAATTACACAATGGCTATGTATCAAATTTGAGTGCTCCTCAAAATTTTGAAGTCGATGAAAGCCAGATTCTAGAGGGAGACAACATGGGTGAAAAAATATCAATACACATGATATTTTAATACAAAATATTAGCTTTTTTTACACAAGTCAGATTTTTTTAAAATATAGAACCTTAAAAAAATGAACAAATTGCGATTCACACACTATAAACACTTTTTTTTGTGCTCAGTTTGATCAAGTTATCAGAACAATTTAAACACCAGTCCATAGTTTAAATACTGCCTTGAAGTTTTATGAAAACTATGCCGCACTGCGTGCTACCATTACTGTAGGTACAGTGTGAAGCACCTTCTCTCAATTTACTGCGGTAGTAGAAACTGATCAGGTTCTTCGTGCAAAGATTCCACATCCTACTCATGCTCATGACAGATTCATATTACATTTCAGTGGCACTGGTATAACCAACCACATGTAATTCTGTGAATAGTCACTGGAAGAATGTCCATTACATACTCTGGAAATACAAGTTCTTCAGATAGGTAAAAGAAAACTTGTTACTTTAGGGGAAATACTAGCCTTATTAGTCAGAATTTAACAATTGCTAAGCACTGAAATGGATTTTGATTTCTCAAAGTTGAATAAAAGTCATTAGCTATCACGCTTTTGTAGAGATGAACTATATAGCAGGTACATCTCAGGAATATTTGCAATTGCCCATTTTTTGACCCCACAGACAGGAAAAAAATTCCCTCTAAGATGGACATCTTAAAAGGCCTTGTTTGAGTAGTAAATCATCCATGAGTTGCAGGATGTTGGCCATGTAGATTTAGGATGATTTACTTGCATTACAGTAATTTACACAATTAAACTTTATGCATACAGTACAAAACTATGAACAAAAAGGTGAAGCAAACTTTTTTATTTATATTCAGGTAAAAACATTAACCTGATGAAGTAAATTATTGCAGATTTGAGAAATCAGCACATAAAACAGTTGGACAGAGCATTGCTTACAGGTGCTTTATCTGTGTCAAAAGACAAAGGCTGAACTGTTTGTGCCAAGCTAGCACTGGGGGGATGGGTGGAGAAAAAAAACCTACAAAAGTAATGAGGAACCTGGATCAAGAACAAGAAAATATTTACTCAAATA